GTGTGGAGGCAGGAAGGGAGGTACAAAGACAGAGTCTAGCTGAAGCTCTTGTGGCAATTCCTTCTTGCCCAAGGAAAGATATACGGCCCCAGAATCACAGCTCTGCCACAGTATGGCTAAGTGATAGTGAAGAGTGATTTGACTTCTCTCTAAAATGGGGATAAAGCCATCTGCAGTGAGACTGGAGGGAAGAAGGTATGCACAGTGCTAGGACAAGGCTAGGCACACACTAGGAGCAATCAGTAAGTCTTTTTTTTTAGAACAGAGTCTCACTCTGTCGCCCAGGTTGGAGTGCAGTGGCACGATCTTGGTGAGCAACCTCTGCCTCCCAGGTCCAAGCAATTCTCCCACCTCAGTCTCCTGAGTAGCTGGGACTACAGCTACTACAGCACCACTATGCCTGGCCAATGTTTTTGCTGCATTTTTAGTAGAGATGGGGGTTTCACCATGTTAGCTAGGCTGGTCTGGAACTCCTGGCCTCAAGTGACCCACCCATCTCAGCCTCCCAAAGTGCTGGGATTGCAGGCATGGGCCATCGCGCCCAACATGTCTTAACAAAGCACCCTCACCTAGCCTCATGATAGAAACATGACGGAAGCAGATAAGGGCCTTGTCAAAGGGAGGCTGCAAAGGCCAGCAAAAGAGAAGGGCGTGTCTCCCTCAGTCTCACATAATATGGGGTTTGGAGGCATAGGCCTGGAGGGGCTCCTTTCCCTTCCCTCTGCCCCTTGCCCCCACACCACTCTTGAGGGTGTCTGGGCTCTGGAGTAACTCTCTGCCTCATCCTGCCCGTGAAGCTACTGGATTTTCTTTCCCAGGATGCCTTCCTGGAGATTTGCCAGTCCCTCATGGGGCCCACAGCTTCTCCTAGCCCTTCCAGGACTCTGCAGACTTCATAAAGGCTGATGGTTCTAGGCACAGAGGAGTTTCACTTCCAGGGTCCAGAAGGCAGGTTCTATCCCTGGTGAAAACCATTTGGGGGCTCTCTCATGGGCAGTTCCCCTACAAACTTTTACATAGGATTTGATGGATATGGAATGTGAGATCCCTGGGTCAGCAGCATACCGGCTCCCCACTCTACCACCTTGTTGGCCCTACTCACAGATCCCCAATCCTTACCCACAACCGCAGCACCACTGCACAACCCTCCATCTGTCCCCCAAGAGCCCATGGGCACTGCCTGAGTCAGCTTCTCTAGGGATGGAGCTTCTGCCTTTGACCACAGGAGCCCGGGGCACTCACTACTTTTTAAATCTATATGCTGACCCTGAACTCTGGCCATTACACCACCCAGACATATCACAAGCCTGTGTCCTAGGTCCCAAGACTTATGGCCCATGTGTGAGATTTTCTGCCAGGATTTGACTGGCAGATGGGCAAGCATGTAACCAAGCCGTGGGTTCCTTTCTTCTCTAATTCTGCTGCTTTCTCTGTCAGCTCCACCAGCCAGTCAAAATTCTACGAGCCCTCAGCCGTAAGCCTGCAGCCACGTGGGTCAAAGCGAATCAGCTGTCCTAACACTCCAAGCATATCCCCCATCTCAGCACATTCCAGCATCTCTGGGGCTGAAATCAAGACCTTTCTGGAAATAATGGGTGATCTCTGCTTCCACCCCTTGGGATTTCCTTGCTCTGACATTTCAGGTGAGGCAAAGGGCTGGCAAGGCTGTTCCCAAGGCTGGCTCCTAACCCTCTCTGGGTTGTGAGACTGTCAAGTTCTCTGGGGTTCAGCTGAGTCACTGCTGCTGAGGGTAAGCCTGGGGGAATCGGCAGGTGGCTTCAGACACCCTCCCTAGAGGCAGGGAAGCAGAAGCAGAGTCCCAAGCTGATGTTAGTATGCAGAGCAGACGCTGTCCAGAGCCCTTGTACCAGCGAAGGCTCCTCCCATCAGTGCCGTGAGTGTGGGCTGCTGCTAGGGGTCCCAGCTGCCCTTCTTCAGATGCATGCCCCCGGCCATCAGAGCCCCCGTGCCCATGCTCCACACCCTTTGGAGGAGGCGGCAACCCACAGACAATGGAGGGCTGATGTGGGGGGCGGTATAAAGCTGTCCTCTAAGACAGGAGAGTTCTGTGGTGCCATTCATCCTCCAGAGCTCCCCGTGGGACCAGGTGGAAGCTAGACTTAGCTGAACCCACATTTCTGCCTCACTTCCTCCCCTGCCCCATCCTGCTTCCTTCCCTGCCACAAGAAATTCACAGGAGAGTAGAACCTCAAAAGCCACGTGCAGCTGAATCCTCGCCTCAGGCTCTGCATTTAAGGAGCTTGACTTAAGACAGGTAATGTTCATCACTGCCCTTCTCTGACACCCTCTCCTCCTGGGACTCCTGTGCATCAGGGCAGTGGGAGTGGATGGGGAATCCTCACACCCACTCAGCTTGCCCTGGCTAGGTTCTGAGTGTGTTGAGTGATTTTTTCCTTAGTCTTTTCCCTTCATGTCCGAGCTAAGGAGTGAGCAGAGCATGACAGGGTTAAGGCAGTTTCTGGTGAGCAGGAGGAAGGCCAGGGACAGGGCTTGGGAGCTTCAGGGTAGGATTCCAAATGGCTAGCAATGTCCAATCTGAAGTCCTAGAGACTGAGTGAGCCAAACAGAAGAGTCTCAGAGGGAACCCTGCTGGAGAAAGGCAAGGAAAAAAGCCTAGCCAGGAAAAGGAGGGCACGGGGTGGGGCAAGTCAGCCTCATTCCTCCTGACAATATCACCTGCTATGTATAGGTCACATCTGCACAGGGGCTAGAAGGTGTCCTCATGCTTGACTTTGCCCAGTAGATGACGGTGGTGTGGGGGTGTGGAGGCAGGTGACTTTCTTAATTAACAGCTGCCATTTATTGAGTATTTACTGTAAGATAGACATGGTGCAAAGCGTTTTGCATAGATTCTTTGAATCCTCACTGCAATCCCATAAGAGGAAACTGAAGGTCGGAGAGGTCCTCAGTCCTGTGGCAGCTGTTGTGCTCTTGGCTCCTGGGCAGCTGATATGAAAGGGAGCCCTGACCCAGGGGTCAGGAATGACAGTTCTGGTGTTGGCTGTACTTCCTGGGTGTGGAACCTTGAGATTGAGGATTCAATCTCTTTTGAGTAGCTGGGCTTATAGACATGTGCCACTATGCCCAGCTAATTTTTGTATTTTTAGTAGAGATGGAGCTTCGCCATGTTGGCCACGCTGCTCTTGAACTCCTGACCTCAGGTGATCTACCCTCCTCAGCCTCCCAAAGTGCTGGGATTACAGGCATGAGCCATTGCGACCGGCCAAGAAGCCCATTCTTCTGGAGTAAACAGACAACCTTCGTGCCCCAAGGCCAGGCTACCGCGCTGTGGCCTCCGGTTGCCTCTAGGATGCATGTGCCTACAGTATCCCAGCTTGGTTACCAGATCCTGGCACCAAGCTTCCAGACACTACTAGAACACCATCTAAGGTTGTCACCAACCTGGATGCTGGACATTCCATTCAAGACCCAGTGCAAAGCCAAGCAAGGCACGCAAGTCACCCCATATGAACTTCTAGGCCAGGAATGGAGAAGCAATCCCTTGCCTCCGTGGAGGGAGGCCAGGGGCTGAGACTCCCTACGCCATCGCTGACTGGTTCCGGTCTTGCCCAAACTGCGGGATTTAGAAGTTCTTCCTTGTAGCTAAATTATCTCTAGCTATATATAGCATAAGACTCCAGGGACAGGTGGTGACAGGCACTCACACATGTTGCTGCTTTTGAGGATGGAGGAACGCAGGGGAAACGCCTTTCAGAGAGGAGCCACTCTCTGAGGGAGGTGCCCCTACATTTGTTTTCAAATCAGCAAGTAGGTACTGGCTGTGGGCTGGCAGTGTGCCAGGGGTTAGCAAGATGCAGGCCCTGCTTCTTGCCAAGGTCAGACTGATCACTGTGGTCCTGAGGCTGACCTGTACGGGTCCAAGGCCAGCATGAGCCCCAGGGGGAGCCCACTGTGAAGGGAGCTCTCCTAGGGAATGGCAGGGGTTCTGGAGAGCCAGGAGATAGTGTTGCTCCACACGGACCAGGAGGCCAGAGTTTATGCCTCAGCTCTGCCACTTTTATGGGCAGTTTTTTTTTTTTTTTTTTGAGACAGGGTTTCCCTCTGTCGCCAGGCTAGAGTGCAGTGGTGTGATCTTGGCTCACTGCAACTTCTGCCTCCTGGATTCAAGTGATTCTCCCGTCTCAGCCTCCCAAGTAGCTGGGACTACCACACCTAGCTATTTTTCTTTTGTATTTTTAGTAGAGACAGGGTTTCACCATGTTGGCCAGGCTGGTCTCGAACTCCTGACCTCATGATCCACCCACCTCGGCCTCCCAAAGTGCTGGGATTACAGGCATGAGCCACTGCGCCCAGCTTATGGGCAGTTCTTTAACCTGTCTGAACCCAACATCTTCAACCACTGGGGGAGATTGTAGTACACGCCTCAGTATGGCAATGTGCATATGATAACAAAAAAGCACTCCGTAGCTATAAATCTCTATACACACTTAAGATATCATCAAAATAAAAGGTAATGATACACCTGAGCTTTCCTCTAAATTACATAACATAATTGAATGCCTTAAACATGCTCCAAAATGTTGTAAGCCACCTCTTCTGTATAAGGCAACGTGAGGACCGAAAGAGATGAGGCCAGGGAGAGTGCTCAATGTATCTGTGATTAGAATGGGAGCCAGTACAATGAGCTCAGCCTGCGGCTCTGCATCTGCTCACAGGAGAACTTGCTCTCTCTGTGCTTTTGTGAAAAGGAGACCAAAGTCCAGGAGTTGGGGAAACTCCTCGGAAGCTGCAGGCCAAGAACCAGCAGAGACGGTCTTGCAATGGTAGGAGAAGCCATTTGGAGGATGGAGGCTTTCACAATCCGGAGCTTCCAAATCCCCTGGGGGAATTGTTCATATGCAGATTCCCCTGCATGCCCGGCCCAGAATTTGCTGCTTAGTAGCCTCTTCTCCCCCTAAGAGAAGGACTGATCCTTCTCCACTTATCCCTCTCCCTGGGTGGAGCCACCCAATGCTTACCTGGGAGGAAGGGGATGATCCTTTGCTTGGGGTCCTTCTGGCCACCTTCAATGGGAAACTTATCCAAAAGCTGCATCTGAGAAGCCAGACAGAGGGACAGGATTCAGACGACCAGAACATTCCTCATCATCCCTTTCCCACTCCACTGCTCCAGGGCCCCACTGTCCTCACACGGATGAGTGATGCCTGAGATCCCTCATTTCACAGACAATTAACAAACCGCAAGGGGCGTGAGAGGGAGGAGGCCAAAGCTCTCTCTGCTTCAAAGAGGGCAACTGACCAATCTCAGGAAGCGGGTAAGAGTGCAGGGGGAGGGGTCAGGAGATGACCCGAGGAAGGCTGGAGTGCGGACCAGAGGCTTTCAGGCCAGGCTGCCCATAGAGTTTCCAGAGGCTCCTCTGGGCCCAGTTTCTTTCCTACTTCATCTGTGGTGTGAATCCTTCAGCCACTGGCCATCCCAAACCCTCTTGGGCCAGGATGGGGGAAGGCCCCACCTGATACTTTAGACAGACCACCCGCCTTCCAGAACTGCGCTGTGGAAACAGACTCAGCTGTTATTTTAATTGCAAAACCAAATCCATCCTATTGCCCCCGCTGCCGGAAGACCCCTCCTCCGCTTCCTACCTTCCCACCCTGAGATCGCTGCTGTTTTTTTAGGGACAGACCCACTGGAAGAGTTTCCAGGGTTCTAGAGAAATAACTGTTTTTTCTTTGCTATTCTGGGCTGAAATTCCATGTAAACTGGAAAAACGCACAGGACACAGGATGGATGAGGCCAGGGCCCCTTTGTGTGTGGCTGATCTCCTTTCCGAGGCACAGGCAAGAGGGGAGTCATGATCTAGTCTTGCAGCTCCAGCTGTGTGACCCCAGGCAAGGAACGGAGCCTCTCAAGGTTGGGCCTCAGGCCCCTCCTTGGTAGAATGAGAAGGATCAATCACACGATCTTTGAAGTCCAATCAGTCCTTCAAATATATATTGAGCATGCACTTTACAGCACAGGGCATTAAGGAAAGGGCAGTAAAGACAACAGACAAAATCCCTGTCCTCTGGGAGTTTACGCTCTAGTGGAGGGAGACAAACAGTAAACAAATAAATACGTCATATGCAAGGAAAGATGAGGTCAGTGCTGCAGAGGAAAATCTAGTAGGATAAGGTACTAGAAAGAACACAACTTGTCACTTTATATAGGGTGACAAGGAAGGCCGGACCCCGAGCTAGCAATTTCGCAGAGACCTGCAGGGGGCGAGGAGCAAGCTACACTGGAGAGGGAGAACCTTTCCGGCAGGGAAGCAGGACATACGATGAACCTGACAAGGGCAATGTGGCCGGAGCAGTATGAGCCAGGAGCAGAGGAACAGCCAATGAGATCTGAGAGGCAGGATGGGTCAGGGCATGGAAGGCCTGGTGAGGCTGTGGTGAAGACTCGGGGCTTATCATGAGGGAAGGGGAAGTCCTGGAGGGTTCTGTGTAGAGAGAGATGATCTGCTTCACACTTAGAAAAGACGGCTCTAGCTATGGTGTAGGGAATAGACCACAGGGTAGAAGCAGGGAGACCAGTTAGGATCCTACTGAAGGCAACTTGGACCAAGGTGTTAGCATTGGAGGTGGTGAAAGTCTGTTTAGTGTTGCTATAAAGGAATACCCAAGGCTGGGTAATTTATCAAAAAAAGCAGCTTATTTAGCTTGGCTCACACAATTCTACTGGGCATCTGGTGAAGCCTCAGGCTGCTTCCACTCACGGCAGAAGGCGAAGGGGAGCCGGCATGTGCAGAAATCACAGGGCAAGACAGGAAGCAGAGGGCAAGGGGGAGGTGCCAGCCTCTTTTTAACAACCAGCTCTCGTGGGACTCACTCATTACCAGGAGAACAGCACCAACTATTCATGAGAGATCAGCCCCAGTGACCCAAACACCTCCCATTAGGCCCACCTCCAACACTAGGTATCAAATTTCAATATGAGGTTTGAGGGGAACAAATATCCAAGCTATAGAATGGTCCTAGGCTAGACTCTGTGTGTGTGTGTGTGTGTGTGTGTGTGTGTGTGTGTGTGTATTTCCATCCATCCATTCCTTCATCTACCCATCCAGCTCTAATACACAATTTTAGAACTGTCTCTTGCATAATAATTACCCAACATACCCAGGCTATTTAGATCCCATATAATGAAGGGCAGGTCACTGGTGATTCCATTCAAAACAAGACAGAGACTGCAGCATGATTAACTTTCAATTCCCTGAATACAGATGGATATTTAGCAAAAGCTGGCTCATGAATTTTTCTTTTTGCTTTTTTTTTGGTTTTTTTTGAGACAGAGTCTTGCTCTGTCACCCAGCCTGGAGTGCAGTGGCATGACCTCAGCTCACTGCAACCTCTGCCTCCCAGGATCAAGCGATTCTCATAGCTGAGATTACAAGTGTGCGCCACCACACCTGGCTAACATTTGTATTTTTAGTAGAGATGGGATTTCGCCATGTTGGCCAGTCTGGTCTTGAACTCCTTGCCTCAAGTGATCCACCTGCCTCAGCCTCCCAAAGTGCTGGGATTACAGGTGTGAGCCACCGTGCCTGGCCACATGAATTCTCAATGTTGAAGTCAAACTCTCAAACATTTAATAATTACCTGCTATATGTAAAAACAGCAACTGGGCCATAACACTATAAACAGGACTTTTTTTTCTTTCCTACACCTACATGTTCAGCAAAGGATTTTTAAAGTTAATTCATTTTCACATAAATTCTACACAGATTAGGATTCCTTTTCCCATTTTCCTTGCCCATATTGTTTTTGTAAATTTCATTTCTATGTTACATTATGACATAAGTAATTCATGTTCACTCAGGGAAAAAACTAGAAGTTCCAAAAGCAGTGGCTGGTCAAAAAGAGAGTAAGAATCACTCATAATCTCTCCCCTGACATTAATATTTTGGGGTATCTATCCTTGCTAGGCATTTTCCCATGCATGCAAATAAAATGAACCCACCAATACTTTTACACTATATAAAGAACATTTTTCCATGTCGATGAATACTTTCATATCATCATTCTTTTTTCTTGACAGACCGGGTCTCACTCTGTTGCCCAGGCTGGAGTACAGTGTGTAATCATAGCTTGCTGCAGCCTCAAACTCCTGGGCTCAAGTGATCCTTCCACTTCAGCCTCTGGTATAATTAGGAATAGGCGTGTGCCACAATGTCCAGCTAGTGTAAAAAATTATTTTGTAGGGATGGGATTTCACTGTGTGGCTGTTCTCAAGATCCTGGCTTCAAGCGATCCTCCTACCCTGGCCTCCCAAAACACTGAGATTACAGGCGTGAGCCACTATGTCCGGTCAGCATTCTTAATCAGGACACAGAATTTCAGTGTCTGCATGAGCCATAGTGTATTTACCCACTCCTTACTGTTGGGATTTAGGTTGTTTCTGACGTTTGACTACTATATATAGCGCTATATATAGTGAATACCTTTGTTCACACATCTGTGCACGTTTCCTTAATACCAATGTATTCCTTTTTACTTTTTATCTTGTTGTATTCTATGCATGTTTATAAGTACCTTAAATCTTTTCCATAAGAATGAGAATTAATAAACGGATAACTAACATGTTATTGGGGCCTCTGAGAAATGCTCCATAGGTTTCTGATGAAGAGGTGCTGAGATGGGGGGCCCAGCAACACGGGCCCAGGCATGGAATGATTTGTTCTTATCTCACCCACCTGTCTCCCAAAACAAGGTGACTTGCTGTGCCACACAAGTGGTGGTACCTCACCCAAGTTGCTGTATCTCTCCGGGGCTTGAGGGAGTTAGGCTACAAAAAGTTTTCATTTTCTTCCCCCAGCTCTGACATGCCTATGTTCTGACTCCTCCCTCTCTTCCAGACCTAAGAGCCTGCAATTCTCAGTCACAGTGCAGAGGGACTGTGGTGCGGTGAGGAGCGGGTGGAGGCGGCGGGCCTCCTGCACTCATCCCTTTCCTCCAGGAACAGTTACTGTACGCCTTCTCCACATCAGGTTCTGCCTTAGGTGCTAGAAATAAGCTAAACTGCAGCCTGGCGGCTGGGTGTGGTAGCTCACGCCTGTAATCCCAGCACTTTGGGAGGACAAGGCTGGAGGACTGCTTGAGGCCGGGAGTTTGCAGAGCAGCCTGCGAAACCCCATCTCTACTAAAAAAATATAAAAATTAGCTGGGCTTGGTGGTGCATATCTGTAGTCCCAGCTGAGGCAGGAGAGTCGCTTCAACCTGAGGGGCGGAGGCGGCAGTGAGCCAAGATCGCACCACTGAACTCCAGCCTGCCGGAGCGAGACTTCATCAAAACACCACCACACACACTGCACACACACACACACACACACACACACACCCACCCACCCACCCACCCATGAGCCGGGCTTCACAACCTTCCACATGCATCCACGGTTCTTGGCAGGTTCTGATTCAGCGGGTCTGCGTGGGACCTCAGGTGCTAAGCCCAGCCACACCTGTCACCTAATCCTACCACCAGGCCAAGCCAGCAGAGTCGTGGGGCTGCTGTCCCTGTCAGTCATCCCTCACCCTCATGGGCCACTGGCCACGGAAAACGGAAGCACAGCTAATTAGCTGCTAGGGACGGGACACCTTTTCGGCCCACAAGACAACTTGGAACAAAAGCAAATCTCCAGGCTCAGACTGAAGAGCAAGCCAAATCACCGCGGCCCAGTCGAGTTCACTCCGTGTGGCGCTTGCAGCTGGCGCAGCTGCCCAGTTCAGCATCTCGGCCCTCAATTCGGCAGAGCGGCGGGCGGTGAGGGAGAGTGCAAATGTCACCCTCCCAGGGGGCCGGGCAGCCTGCGAAGCGGGCCCTGTAACCTGGTCAGTACCCAATTTGCCGGGCTGGTTTCCACAGATACAATCCGGGCTGAGCCGAGGCTGTCTCCAGAGCCGGCTGCCCCGCCCTCTGGGAGGAGGAAGCCCGGGCGCGGGGCGGCGAGGCAGGAAGGCCCCGCCCAGCGGAGAGTCCTGCGGGGCCACCTTCGCAGGGAGGAAGTGGATTCTCCCGTCACTCCCGCAGGGGCCTGACTCGGGCTGGAGGAAAAGCAGGGC